ATCTAAGTGTGTAGATTGAATATCCTGGTTTTCCGTTCAAATCGAAGCTATGTACAGGTTTTTCGGTCAAGATTCTCATCATTTCGTCATCGAATCGTCATTTTTGTGACCTCAAGTCAGGGCTCAGGCGCGCACTGAGCGGCATATTGGCTTATGATCATGTCTTTAAACATAGATTTAAAAAATATACCTATCAAAATATATCAACGCTGTTTTTTGATATGTTGTTCAGAATACCCTCCAGATTCAGAATATGTTTAGTTTTAAGCCACAAACTGCCCCAAATCGACGGAATCGTCGGTTTTGTGACCTCAAGTCGGGAATTTGGTATACTCGTTGAACTGCATATTCGCCTCTGCTTAAGGCGAACTTTATGATTCCTTTCCGATAAAGAAAAAAAGAAGTTACATATACATGTGCTTATTAGACATTATGTTCTTTCTACACAATACTCTTAATACATACNTCCGTCTTTCCGCGTCGTCCTCCAATTTTTCGGAATAGCCGATTTTCCCTCGGATAATCACAGTGCTTGAGCATTTTTTGTTCTTGCGACTTTTTTATCTCAGAAAAATTTTAAAAAAATTATAATACGTGTTAAAAAGGTTTAATCTGGGTAAACGTAACAGGGTCTGTTTTTAACCAGTGATTTCAGATCAAATCATGGGGAATGTGCCATGACCGTCTTTTTCCGACCAGAATCGATCTCACTATAATTGTTACAGCCCTCCCCCCCCCTTAAGGTGCTGCTTTAAGAATGTAATCTCATCTAACGATAGACTATATGAATAGGAGGTCTCATGTCAAATTTTCCTTCTCTATGTCCATCCGTCTTTGAGCTACGAGTTCAGTTCCTACCGCCCGAACGCTCACTATTTAGTAACTTTGCGACCGCTCCACCCCTCCCCGCCGCAAGTGTCATTTAAAAAAATTGACCTTATCTAACGATGGCCTGTCGGTAGAAGAGGTCGCACCCAAATTTCACTTCTGTATGTGCTACCGACTTCGGACTAAAATGTTTGTCCCTACCGCCCAAACGCACGTCTTCAAGTATCACTGCTTCCGCCCCCCTTACCCCGCCACAAGTGTCATTATGAAATTTTGACCCCATCCGACAATAGCACATATGTATAGGAGGTTTCATATCAAATTTCACTTTTCTATGTCTTTCTGTCTTTGAGCTATGAGTTCGGTCTCTACCGCCCAAACACTCGCCTTCAAGTATCAGCACTCCCGCCCCCCTCCTCCCGCCCCAAAGTGTCATTAACAAAATTTAACCTCATCTAACGATAGTCTATATGTTCAAGACCTCTCATACCAAATTTCACATCTCTATGTGTTTTTGTCTGCGAGCTATGATTTTTGTCCCTACGCGCCATAAGGACACTGCACTGTGCGTCGTATGAACATTCGGAAGTTACCAAATTCCGCTCAATAAGTTATTTATTTCCCAGGAGAGTTATGAATATGTTTTATTGCTCTTTTCAGATACCTTCGATTAAATACTCGAATACTCGAATACGCGAATACTCTGAAACATTGGAAGAAAAATATTGACAATTTTCCCCGCAAATTCGTTTTAGATCAAATGAGAGGCAAAGCCCCAAGGTTCAAACGGTTCATTCGCACAGCAGTCATTTCGATATCTCTTGCCTCTAATCTCGTCGCACCTCTGACGTAAGAACGCATCTCAATTTCCACTTGAGCCCTATTCTCCGTACAACTCATTGCTTTTAGGGGTTCGTGGGAAAATCGAGATACGCCCTTACGTCAGATTGGAGTACCTACACATATAGCCAGAGTACGGACTTGTCCGTAATTTTGAGATCAGGACATGCAGCTTCTAGGGGCTGCGATAGGATTGCGCAAATGCTCCCTCTTTTGCAACTTCTTGCAACTCAAAAGAGGTAAAAACCTCTTTTGAGTTGCATAAGATTGCGCGAATTTTTCTGGTACTGAAAACTCACATGTTTGCGCGACTATTCACCAGTTGACGAGGAAGCGTTATCTGGCAACGTTGGAAGTTTGTGGTAGATAACGACACTGCTGAGTTCATTCGCTCCTCACTTACGGGCATGACTCTCTTCGATGGATGGTCCTCGCAGCACGAATGGCCCAGAGAGCTTTCTTAGACATTTAAAAAAGGAACCAGGAGCCTGTGGTTGTAACGCGGCTGCCAACCACGGGGAAACACTATATACACGTAAAAGATCATAGAACAACCAGGTTCAAGTATTTTAAAAGATGTATGGGTTCAAAATCCGACGAGTGCACTTGAAAGAAAGAGTATATTTATCTTTGATTGCAACGTTATGCACCGATTTTATGTTTTATTTTTAATAAATGCTTGTAAAAAGCTACAGACAGTTTTTCTGAAAAAGTTTTCGCGAATTTACCTAAATAAACTTAAATAAAAGTATCGAAAATTTCGATGCGATATATTCGTTTGTTCTATTTTCTTTTAATGTAATCAAAATAGAAATAAATATCATCCGAGTTTCTGAATCGTTACAATGAGGATACATATTTTTCCATTAACTATGGTAAAATCTGAAGTAAAATGTCATGAATGATGACGCGCAGTCCTACAGCATTCCTACAGTCTTGTATACGCTAATATACGTTTCACGCCAACTGACCGACAGCACTGCGTTTGGCGCAATGCGAGAAGTATTCATGCAGTCTTGTAGGCGCTAATATGGGCTTGGCGCCGCCCGCACTGTTTGGCGCAATGCGTGAAGTATTTTTTGAGTCTTGCAGGCGCTAATATACGTTTAACGTCGGACGCACTGTGTTTGGCTCGATAATTCGAACTCGCGTCAGGATAATCGCGGCATCGAATAACAGAGCTTAAAAGGCCCTTGTTGTGTTCCGACACCGTATAAGCATTCCAACGTTGCCTCGTTTGTCCCGATTAAAATTTTTTCCGAGAAAGTTGGAAAAGTTGGAAAGTTGGGGAAGTTTTTTTGTACCCACTATCATTATTCGATCTTTTCACTTCATTGATCATCAGAAGGTAAAACATTGATAACTTGTCAACAAACTGACCTAAACTAGCGTTAACATAAAAATACATTTCTTTTCCGACTGTTTCTTGTTTTACTAGACTTCTACCTCAAATTAACTTCATTTTAAATTCGCGCGCATTCTTAAAGCAGATGTTTAGGTTTCTATTCGCGCAATCCTCATATATTTTCTTACACCTTTCGCGCAATCCTGGATTACCGCTTTTAGAACCCTAAAAGGCAGACAACCGATGAATTAAAATGATCCAGAACGGTTCATTGTTACAATTTTTACGACCCTTCGTTTGTAAAGCACGTATTTGACTTAGTTTTTGCATAATTTTCCTCATTTTTCTGAGAATCGCTCATTCATGAACATTCTTGACCATTTTGGATTGAATTGGTATCCGAAGATTGGCAGTGAAATTTTGTGTGTTAGAAGACTGGCTGTCCTTTTGGGGCATAGAGTACATAGGGTCGTAATATAAATGAAAGAGCTGGCGCCACTTTTCAGCAATTTCCTGGTCCCGAATCCCTAGACTCCTGTGTCACTTTTTCGATACATAATCGATTGTTTTCCGATACACGGGGGCTAGGGTGGGACTTATTTTTTTAAATCAACAAAACCAAATGTTGCACGGTCTTAAATGGTTCTATGTGATAAAAAAACACGGTAGCCAAGAGGATTTTGAGAATAAAAATTTTTAACCCGGCGCGCACAGAGCCTAAACATCGAGATTTTTCCGGGTTTTTTGGCATTTTCGCCGTATATTTTTGATATTTTTGCCAGCAACACGGATTTGACGCTAGATGTCCAAAAATTGGTACAAACCTAGCGCATACCTTGCAGATGAAGGGAAAATTTTTGTTTTTCTCCGGGGTCACTCTCAGTTCGCTTGGTAATGCCGAAACTCTCCGCTCGGCAGCTCTAAAAATCGAAATTTCGCCGTTTNCGGGGGCCCAGCCATCCGATGTAAACAAAGATGATAGGAATTATTACGTATTCTACACCGCCATTTTGGATCGAAAATTTATCGAAAAAGTTACCGAAGCTCGGCGCACACAGGGCTCGGAACTCGTCAACCTGAACATGACGCAAGCTCTCCCATTTACATTTTACGGCTCTATGTACTCTATGCTTTGGGGCCCTACGCCCTCTATGAAGCGAGCTGTCCATACTCTCTCTATACAGGTACTCTGCCGTGCTACGGAAGAACGCAGTATGAGCCTTCAGACGGTGCCAGGTTTCCTTCGATGATAACCGAATTTACTTTGAATATTGTAAATATTTTTTTTCCCCAAATTTTCAGACATTTATTTATACAACGTAATCTAATTTATCTGAAAATGTCAAGGAAAGATATGCCCGAACGTTGTCATAAATAAATGTTTTATCAAGGGAAGTTTGGCAACTCTCGAATGTTTATACGACGTTCTTCCTAAGCTCGGCCGTACTCTAGGTATGTCTAGAGTTCCTTTATACTGAGAGTCAAGACAATGTGAATCCATCTCTGATTTGTTCCCGTATTTTAGGCCTTCACAGTGTCACAAACGGGAAAAAAGATTACATTTTCACCGATTGCAAAGATTATAATCTGGAATGGACCAGGGAATTACGGGTTTGGCAAGGAACAAACGGAGTGAGAGAAGGAACGGAGAAAGGAATTTGAGAATGGGCCGATCAAAGATTACGAAAAACGTTCAATTTCTGTAGTCTTTATCCCCGTTTGTGACTCCATGAGGGGGTGTTGTCTTGACTCTCAGTATAAAGGGACTCTAGGTATGTCAACAGTTGAATGCGTTGGAACCCCGAAAGTAAAAGCTTGCACCATTGCCAAGATACAGTAGAGGGTCACTTGTATCTGGCCCTGTTCTCCGTTTTACTCTATATTTTCCGGGGTTCATAGGCCACCTTTTCGTCAGAGGGACGACGATTTGAGAGCAGGCACTCAATAAGGAGTGTCTTGACCCCGGGTCCGGGTTGTGATTATTTACCTTCGATGGAGCCGGGCTTCCAGGCCTTGCCGAGGGGCGGCTTGCCCTTGGACTTGAGAGCCCCGGTCTCGACGTCCTTGACGAGACGTCGCCCGGAGCGGGAGCGGGTGAGTTGCCGTTCGACGTAGTCCTTGAGGTCGTCTTCCTCCTTCTTCGTCGTGCAGTGGTTCACCGTGATCAGGAACAGGCCGATGAGCATGCACACCCCGCCGGTCGCCATCAGCGTCCGTTTGTACGCGAACTTGGCCACCGTTGTCGATACGTCACCGTCGTCGTCGGGCACGAACGCTGCCCCCATCAGGAAGATCCCTACAACCAATCAAAACAGAATGATTAGGAACAGTCTAAAGTGTCTTCGACAGTTAATGTACCATACCGTGTCTTTCATTTCTTTAGAAAATTTAGATAAAACAGTGGAAAAAGAGCACATTGGATCTAGAGTCCAGACTCTTGAAAACGTTGACAAGAAATAGGACTCTTGATTCAATCAGATTTAAGCTTAAATCAAAAAGAAATCCGCTCAAATTAAGAGGCTTGGTTCTTGATTTAAGCATAGATCTGATTGAATCAAGAGTATTTTTTCTTGTCTATGTTTTTAAGAGTTTGGACTCTAGATCCAGGGGTTTTTTTCCAGTGAACGATAGAAGACAGGTTTTCTCGAAAATGTAAAAATTATAATCACTTTTGATGGCTGAATTGTTATCATTACATTAGAAAAGTACCGAACCCTAAGAAAGCATTATATAGATCGATTCGTCGCTTGGATGACATAAAGGCGTAATTACACATTGAGATGAGCCCGGAGAGGCATTGAAATGTATGGAAGACAGGGCTCATTGCAGAGTGTAGTTACGCACTTATGTCAGGTAGGCGACGAATTCATCGACAATGGCGCTTATGACGCTTTGGCTGGAAGGTGTCAAAGAGTTGGTGAAAATTGGGCTCTAAAAGTTTTAAGCGTACTTTCCATAGTTGTGGATTTAAGTTAACATTAATTAGACTACATCTTGCAATGGGCCTGTTGCATGCAAGAGATACAGCCGCGCGAATAGACTTTTAAGGGGTTAAATGACACGAAAATTACGATGGTCTCATTAAAAAAGTCTAAAATACACTCCTTACTGCGCAATTTGCGTTGTTAGGAACGCGCTTTTTCAAATTTCCCGCGTCTGGGGGCAGTTTTCTAATCACCGAAAACGAGCAAACGGCGGGCTCGGTGATTTCCGGAAGATGCCGAGTCGTTGTTGTTGTTGTTATTTTTTCCTTCAGTTTGTTTACAAACCCAACGTGATCTCTTATAGTGGTCCATGTACGCTTTATGTGGTAACGAAATCGATCAAACTTTTAAATATCCAACGCAATCCTTCTACATTTCATTTCACGATATCACGAGCTCCGATTTTTAGGTTATGTTGTCAGTTTTAGTTGACCGGAAATAGCCGCGAGTTGCCGTTAGAAAACTGCCCCCAGACGCGGGAAATTTGAAAAAGCGCGTTCCTAACAACGCAAATTGCCCAGTAAGGAGTGTATTTCAGACTTTTTTAATGTGACCATCGTAATTTTCGTGTCATTTAACCTCTAAAAAGTCTATTCGCACGGCTGTATCTCTTGCATGCAACAGGCCCATTAGGAACTACATATTTTGGATCAGTTTACAAGCAAGGTATGAACCATTAGTTTCCCTGTGCACAAAAGTGTTTTTTACGGATGAGCCAGAAATTCTAGTTTCTAATGAAGTCCAATTTCTCTTTTTTTTCAACCTATTGGAAATGAATCAATTCTTGACGGGACCAGGTACTCTGACAAGACTCGATTATTCAACATAGTTTTGGGTTAAAATGGAGAGCGAACAACGTTGCCAACTTGCTGAATCAGCCGATGCGCGGCACTTTCATAAAACGGCGGTATGCAAGATTTCCAAATTAAAAAAGTAATACTCATTGGTATGAAAACAGAAAGTTCTGACCACATGAGGCTGGTTCTAAAAGATACTCCTGGAAAATCCTCTGTTCTATTCTACCGTTCTAAGGAAAAACGCAGTATGAACCCTCTGACGTTGCCATATTTCCTTCGATAAAAAACAGATTTACTGGGAAATTTTGGGATAATTTTCCTCACATTTTTTCAGACAATTTTGTTCGTAGTTTAATCTAAAATATTTGAAAATTTCAAGGGAAAATGCGCGTAACTTTTCCCAAGAATACAGGGTTTAGCCGGGGAAATCTGGCAACTTTCGAATGTTCATACGTCGTTCTTCCTCAGAGCGGCAGATACAGCGGGCCAGAATCGAAATGAGAGTGGGAAGGAAATGACCGAATACCCCTTCCCACCTTCAATGATGCAGTATCACCCGGGCGTGGTGCCATCTGGACAGTTGCCCGTCGAGGTCCAATGCAAGGCTTCGGAAGTAAAAACAGATACGTGTTTCCTCGTGGTTTCCCGAAGGATAAAATCGGCGCTCCCCTGACGTAAGAGCGTATCTTGATTTACACATGAGCCCCAGAAAGCATAGATTTACATGTAAAACAGGGATCTCCTGGAAATCGAGTTACGCCCTTACGACAGAGGAGCGACGATATGAGGCTATCCATGAAAAAAGGCTTTACTGTGCCGGAAAACTCTAGATTTAGAGATTAGTACCACTGTCTACTTCAAGGAGTGTTCTTCAAATTTGGCACAAAAATTTTCAAACCAAAGCGGAGTTTTAACTAGAGCATTATTGTTTCCTGTGTTCCACAGGCAAATTCTCAAGCTAGACATTCCGCCAAACACCCCGGGAAATGGTCGATATCTTCCTCTTTGGGATTCGCGATGTTGAATTTTTGCTAATTCGTGACATGACATTGCTCTTAGTGAGCACGCCAATGAGGAGATAGTTTTAAATATGTATACTATTGTTATGTGAGAATATTTTCATAATTAATGTATTGGAATGAACACTTTACTCAAAATGTACAGGATGCTCTATAAAATACAATGGGATCAATAGGACTGCATTTTGCAATTTGGACCTATAAATTCCGGCTCGGTTTAAAAACAACGTATGTGCCATTAGTTTCCCTATGCACATAAGTGTTTTTTCAGATGAGCCAGAATTTATAGGTCCAAATTGCAAAATGCAGTCCAATTTTTGCGTGCTTGCTGATTTCTCATAATTCTCTTTTTCCAAAAATAGACTATTATGGGAAATCAGCAAGCACGCAAAAATTGATCTCACTGTATTTTATAAAAAAGGGTTAGACAGACCAATAGGATTATGCCCCAGTCGTTTGTAGAAGAACAAGAAGAAGAAGAAGAAGAAGAGCTACATGAAGCTGGGAGATGGAGGAGATAGAGGAGCCAATAAAAAGTCGTATCCAAATGGCAATACTATCGCTATAAAGTTATTACAGAGAAACCCATTGGGACAGTGCTGCTATTTTCCGGGATTAATTCCGAAATTTGGAACTTTTAAAATACTCAAGACTTTTCCCGGAATTCTTAGCTTTTTTTCGGAATTTCCTCGAAATTTGAGGTTTTCTGTTAGTTTGACCATTTATTTGATCAAATTTAGGGACTTTTTGATCAAATTTGACGATCTTCGAAATTAAATCCGGGCAGAAACCGGAATTTTTCTCGGATCTTTGGCAAATGGGAATATATATATTTCCGGAAATCGGAATTATTTCGAAATCTTCTGATAAAATAAAATGGCAGCACTGCATTGGAATTCTGTTTTGGATACAGACCTATGATGAGGAACATGATGCCGAGGTGGAGCATGCCGATGTTGGATGTGGTGTGGAAGAGGAGGTGCTTCTTCATGGGCTTGACGCTAGAGTGGCGGTGTCCGCGATGGTGGTGCGGGTGGTCGCCGGACTCCTCGCTGGAGTGCGGACTGGGGCAGGTCGAGCGGGACTCGCCGACGCCGGACTCGGCCGAGTTGGAGGAGTAGCGCCGCTCCCGGGCCACCTTCTGCTCCTGCCGCCGCTTCCGCTGCCGCTTGATCGCCAGCGCCGAGTGCAGCCCCACCGCGTGCATCTTCGCTCTAGCAACAGAACAATACACAAGCATTAGTCAAAAATTGTACAAGGAGAAATGTAAAAACACCCAGTTTCAGCACATCAAGCTCCAGATACACCTGCTTGTTAGACGCGCATCTAGACTTGAGCACCTGTATATAGCGAGAGTACAGACAGATGTGAAACTCCGAAAATCCATCAGGCCTTTACCGATGCCTCCGCGAATAAAGTTAGGGCCCAGAAATGCAGCCAACCTATGAATTTCAATCGTCCAGGGCGATTTGCTAGTACAATTATTACGAACCATCGTTTATAAAGCACGTATTTGACTTAGTTTTTGCATAAATTTACTCATTTTTGCGGAAGAACGTTCATTTATGTACATTCTTAGCCATCTTGGCTAGAATTGGAATTTGCCGACTGGCAGTGAAGTTTTGTGCGTTAGAAGTTGGTTAGAAGGGTGGCTGCACTTTTGGGCCCTAATCCTCCATGGAGCGATCTGTCCATACTCTCGCTATATAGGTACTCTAATCTAGACAAGAAGTAGGATCCAATCCTACTTTGAGCAAGTTACGAGTGGTGAGTTGCAATCTGATTGGCTACGGAGATTGCCGAACACGGCTGAAGGCCTACTCGCTGCTCAAGACGCGCGTCTAGGTCGCAGGTGTATCTGGCACTTTAATTTTGGAGAGCGCGACCAACGATCATGTCAAATTCTATAAAAATTAATTTGTGCATATCTTGATTGCAAGGATTTCTGTTGAAAAAGCAAATATTAACGGTGAACTACCAAACCATGTATCTCGTTTGTGCGATCATGTCAAAGGCTATATTTGCTGAGGGTATATTAACTTTGAAAATGAACAAAAAATAAAGAGCCTCCCTAAAAAAGGGCCTTTTTTGGCCCCTTTTCGGGAACCCGGGGATTTCGTTCGTTTGTGGCTTAAATGAAACCTTATGATGAGGTAAGCCTCCAGTAAAAATTTTAGCTTGAGTATATGTCTAGTTTCCGAGATACAGCGTTGCACAGTTGGCATATTTGAGCTTTAAAATTCTCATATTCTCAGGTATCTTATTTTCTCAGAACGATTCAATTGGATGTTTTATGATATTTTGTGACATTTTATCAAATGTTAGTATTATTATCGAATGCATATTTCAATTGAAACATTAATACTACTAATTCTGTTAAAACAATGTTGCAAAGTTGACATAAAAACCTATAAAAAATGTTCATTTTATCAAGTTTCTTAACTTAAAAACGAACTTAGTGACCGCTAAAAGATATGTTTTTGGGGTTTAGATGCAATTTTATGATAGATTAAGGCTTTTGTTAAAATTTAACTCAAAATGCAAGTATAGTTTTAATGATACAGGGTTGCAAAGTTTATAAATTTGAGCTTTAAAAATGTCTATATTTTTGAGTTCTGTGTTTAAGAAGCTACTTTCGTAGAATTTAATCACGATTTGAGGCAGGAAATCAACCATTTATGTCATCTGTAGATGAATGTTTGTATTTGAAGAAGAATTTTTTGACCGGTGGTGATACAGCGTTGCCATTCTTAAAACTTTGAACTCTGTATGGATTATAATTTTTTCTTGTTGAACACGACTTCAATGGGTATCTTAACTCGTATCAAGGCAAAATATCAAGAGCTGATGTCAGTCCCAGGTAACGATTGGTTTTGGAAAAAATACTGCTGCTAAGTTTATTCATAATTCTTTTCAAACAAAAAATAATAAAATGATTTTAAAATAAAGATGCTTCTAATTTAATTTTTTTACTTTTTTTTATTTTGTTTAATTTTTTTTGGTAATTTGTTTTGTCTTTTGTGATTTTTTTTTTATATTTATTTATGAATATCCGTGAAAATATTTTTTTCGATTGATACGTGAGTATAGTCTTGCCTTCAAATATATAGCAAGTACCTCAACATGTTGCCGATTTTTTACTTTTACCAAGAATCTCAATTATTTTGAGGCATCTGGATCAAAGATATGTTTTCAACATGCTCTATACATATACGAGCTTGTTATGATTGGCACTGCCAAGACACTGCACCGTTGCGTATTGAGAAAATGCAACTTTTTTCCAGATATATTTCACTGGGAGATGGATGTATTTTTTATCAGAATGGAGGGGTCAGCGCATGCTACCAAGAATTTACATCCAGTGCCGAGATCATAATGTGAATGCTTAAATCCATTTTGAAATACAAGTATGAAACATGACAATAGCCTGGTCCTATTCTCTTCGGAATGTTGTCACTGTGACACAGAGGTCTTAATACTATGGGGACAACCCTCAACAAAAATGGAACTTTAACAACTTATTAATGAAAATATGTATAGTTAGTAGCTATGCCGAAATAATAATTTTTGACAAATCCATGCAACAATATTTTAATAATTTTAAGAATTGTATTCTTTTAATTTCTTTTTCTATAGATTTATTTATTTAATTTATTTTTTTTTTTATTTAATTTTCTCATCATTTGTAATTCTTAAGTCGAAGATATTCTATTCTTTAAGGAACAATGAATGTATTGTCTGTATCAAGATTTATTTGTACTCAAAAAACTGGAGCGTTTCCATAGTTTATGTTCGTTTTTGCATTCTGCCTAAAAAAAGTAAAATTGACAACCAAGGCAAGGTAGAATTTTTTAGATTTTGAAAGCAACACTGATGCTGAGCCATTCATTGTATGCCATAAATTCACTTGGATTACGTTTTAAAATCAGACAATTATTGGAAGTATCCTTATTTTAAACTTATTTTATAATGGAATGTTAAGAGGAACTTAAATAAAATTGGCAACAGTGCCATTTTAATTTCAATTTTCACCTAGGATTGACAAAAGTCCTCCACATTTCTTCTAATCACAATATCACTTACCTATCAACGATTGTTCAATCTTGTCTTCAATAAAATAATACACAAAATAGACATTTTCCCAGATACAAGTTGAAAACTTTGCAACACTGTATTATCGTATCCTTTTATAAATTATACTATGCATCTACGAGTATCACTAACTGTTGATTCTATGCCCCAAAATACAGTTCGATCTTCAGTAATAGCGGTTTGTGAATGAGAAACTTTAAAAAATGAGCTTTTTAAAGCTGAAAAATGTAAACTTAGCAACGTTGTACTGCCATCACAAGGCTTACGCATGAGTCAAAATTCTTATTGGAGACTTTTCATATTATAATTTATCGTGTGCACCTCGTGTAAGTATTGTAAAGTCATTTTTGAAGTTGGTTTTTGGAAGAAAATCCATAAAAATATGA